CTTCAATTTCAAATTATTCACGTGCGTCCACTCGTTGCACTTCAAATATACGCAACCACCTAAGTACAGATTATCCTGTTGGTAAGAACAAATTATTCACGCAAAATTCCTATAGCGACCTTTTCGACGGAGATGCTGACATGTCAACTTAACCCACCTACCACTCCGTTTCCATGTCACTACAATTACATAAAGTTTTTAAAATTCTACAATGGAACATTAAGGGATTTATTAATAATTTTGATGAACTCCGTACACTCATAAGTGATTTTAATCCAACCTAAAATTGCTTCTAAATCATGCATCATGTATTCTCGGGGATTTTAGTAAAACATTGATTCGATTTTTTTTACCGCAAATAATAAATTTTCTTTATTCAATACCGCAACTACACCAAGAATGAGAACATGAACAAGCATCCTACACTAAGAAATTGAACAAGAAAGCTGTAGAACGTTTGCAAATCGACCCATATTACGCGAATTTGAGAGAAAAATAGCTGCAGACACGCGGTTATCGTATTTTGCAAATGTCGCATCGATGGGTGACATATAGAATCTGGATTGTTGCCTATGTCGTGTAAAGAAGCTTTTTCCTCACAGTTCCTTAAGTAAAAAGAAAATACCTTTATTCGTCGCCATCTTCATATCGCGTAAGTTATTTCAAAATTTCTTTGTGTACGGCTTAGGTAAAATCCCTGGAAATCGTAAGACTAATCAAGATCAGCGGCGTACACAAAGAATTTTGGAATGGCTGAAGCATGAATACCTAGAATCAGCCTTAGAAAAGATAATCAACCATTTGCCAAAGGCAAGCTAAGATCTCTAAATTCATTAATAAATTTGAATAATTTCAGTTAATTACGTGCTGCGATAAAGACGCAAATGGAATCAGCTACCTCGGGCTATGAGCTTTGTTGCTCATTAGCCTTTTTAAAAATCATTTCAAAAATCTAAATGGTAATGAAATGCAACTGAAAGAATTGAAAGCGAAGGAGGAGTACGAAAAAGAAACTTTAGATGAAGAACAAGAAGCAACGGAAGAAGAAACTTCAGACGATGAACAAAGAAACGAAATTGACGATTTGGAAAGTAAAGAAAATGAAGAACGCTCTTCGAATGCTGATGACGATTCAGCTAACAGTGACTGAAGTGAGAAGGAGGAAGTGGTAGCTGTTGAAGATGACAACGGAGAGAAAACATTTCCTGACTGGCTTCTTCGGAAATTGCGTCTCGGCCATTTCCCACGTTTCATAGTCGATCTGATGTCTCTTCAAAAATATATCAATAACCCGCAAATTGAGCATTTCCATTTTAATGATTGCAATGAAATTGCTCTGGCCCATCTTACAGCATATATTTATGCTGTTAAATCATGTTAAAGGACCCAAGACATATAACAATTCATTTACGACGTGACATATGTTAACGCACATGCCACCATGGCCATCTCCATCTCCTCTGGGAACCTAGAAACAGTGATATTAATAAAAGCTCTCGCCCCTAAAGATAAGAGTTAGGCTGCGGAAATCGTTCACATGAAGTAATCAAAATTTAGCAAACTCAGTTTACTCTCCAAAAGTTTTATTAAACAGACTTTCTCTTCATATAAGAGCTTGCTATTCATGATAACTTAGGTCGGTTCACAAAATCTTTTTATGAAATCCGATTCTTTTGCAAGATACTTTACTTTATTTTGCTTTTAAATATTTTGTTGGATACCAACCTCTCGACATCGAAAAAAATTGATGAGTTAACGGATCTCACAGCCTATTTGCAATCTAGAACTATCATCTCAACATCGAAAATTACGATCGACTTTTCTCAATATCGAAAGCTTAAATTTGATCCCAATCCTTACATTTCATTTAACATGGAATATAATTGAAATATGTTTTTATGTAATCTAGCTTTTACTTTACTTAAAAGAGACAGTTTTAGATAATTTAAAGGACTGATTATCTCTAATATCGTAACGTTGGAAATTAATACAATAAGGGGGCAACCACTGGTGGTGGGAAACACAATACTAAAACACGCTATTATACCGTCTTAAAAGAAAATGTAAACAAAAACCTATGGCTTAGGAATCAAAAATAATGAAATCAACGTAAACGTAAGGAAAAAATTTCGCTGGTTAACCTAAAATTTTGCAGTTCAAGATATTATTTTGTTAGCCTTCATAATCTGCTTAAATTTTATGACACCGTCGAGAATCGTTTTGTGTATTAACTGATTCACACTTTGGATATTATATCTGATGAAACAATTCGACGAATACATTTCAACCCTAACGTCTTTGTTGCTTGTTTTTCATTTCTTACAAAATGACACATGGTATACATCCAAATTGCAAATCACGCAATGTAAAAAAAGGCCTTAATGTAGGATAAACATAAATTGGATAAACAACTTTAAAATTTAAAGGAAACCATTATCATTCCTTCTTGTGCTTTTTCATCTTTTGGTTTTATTTGTGTACATACATGCAAAACCATAAACAGTTGTAAACCAATTATTTGCCAATTCCCATAAAGTGTTGTGGAAAGAAGAACGTGTTGAAGTCCCAATACTAAAATAGGAATAACGCGTCATTGTGTTAGCCCCTGATTGAAGCGTAGGAGTTATTAAAATTCGTGAAATCAAAACTTAGAAACTTAGAAAACTTTGATGCACTATACTACCCTTACTTATTTTTAGTGATAGCTAGTATCGGCACGTGGTTATTTCTCATTGTACCTTGCAAATGTTACGAAAGCTAAGTCATCAATTGCTTTTTAAATCACTCAATTTTTAATTTTTTTAACAGCCCTGTTTTGGATAAAACAGAAGTTGAATAGTTTTATTGATTGTATTGTTTCTGAATGCCTTTGAAGCTTGTGAGCTTATAAAATAAAATATAAAAATCGAATTTCTAATCTTGAGAAAAAAAAACGGTTCAATAAAGACAGAAGAAGGCCATCTCTGTTTTAGTTTATTTTATTATTTTTTGTTCTGCTGACGATTTCTCTTTTACAGGTATTCGCCAATTTTTTTCAACTCTTAACAACCCTACATTAGAAAATATAAAAGAGTGAGGTAGCCTTGTTTTCTGCACTGTCGGTGTACACATATTTTATCTTATTTTTCTTAAAACCAAGTTATTGTTGAAAATAAAGACGGAAGAATTCATACCTTTTATTGTCTTTATAATAAAACCAGTCATAAAAAGAAAAAATCTACCAACTTTTTCAATACCTTTAACCAAATTTTTAGTTAATTAATAAAGGCAAAAACAAAGAAAAAAAGGTAAACGAAAAATTTCAATGAAATTAAAAAAGGATTGCAAATAATCAATTCCTTTGAAAAATGAATCTCATCAATTCATTTTAAGTGGTGCGAGCAAAACAAATTTCTGAAAATCTTTACGTAGACAAAATTTTTTTAATGGAATATATAAAATGGAGTGATTGTGTAAAAGAAAATATATTAAGAAATCAAAGTTGGTTAATCTGCAACTTTTCCTTAAATCAAAGTCTTTAAAAAGAGTAAACGATATCACTTGAGTAAATGATGCATACATCGCAACGTGTTAGAACAAACAAGCCCTATAGAGCAAACTTAACTTACATGTGTATGTGTAGAATTGATTAATAGTGGAAAGCAATCTATAAAAGTTTTGTTTGTGCATGAAAGCGAAAAAAGGACGTAACAATTTATAATAATATTTATATTGCAAATAAATAACTAAATAATTGTTCATAAATACCATGTTTAGCAAACGGAGTAAAAAAACGTTGCTTATAACCACTTCCTTATTTCTTTGTTTAAGAAATCTGTTGCTAATGTAAGTGTATTTCTTGCACACGTCGTAAATGTTCAATATTGAGAGACTATATTTTTCAACCATTTCGAATTTCGTTGTAATTTTCGAGAGCTGTTCTTTTTTTTGATAATGTTTTACCGTCTAATGCAATTTATTTAGGATCCTTTTTCCTGAAAAAAGTTACTGTTTCTCATTTAATCAAGCAGATATACAAACTGTTTACTTAAAAAACTAATTATCATCAGTTACTGATTTATTTGTTGTTAGACGCAATTTCAGTGAAGTGAAGGAATACGTTTGAGAAAGACGTAGAAAATCGATCGATTACATTTTCTATAAAGTAAACAGATTCAACAGACGCAAAAAACATATTACCTTAAAGACAATAAAGGCACGTGATTTTAAAAGCATGTTTCCTCTCGTTCGTATTTTACAAATATTATTTTATATTAATTACAAACACAGGTGTGAATTCAGCTATGTCTCTCCTCCGTCCGTTCAATGTCGTCTGCTACTGAACGCTTGCGATCTCAAAAATAGGCGGATGAGTCCTGGTCTCTAGATTTACGTCACTCTCGGTATTCCATATGAATGTGTATGAATTAAGGAGATATTAGTAATGCACGTATCCATTTACTGTAATTTTCGTTCATTTCATTTTATTATATTCATTTTTGTAGATTCCCATTTTTCACACCCTGTGAGGAGCAACTGTTTTAAATATTTGCCAGTAAACCTGGATTAGTTTCATTCCCATTTAAAAAAGAAAGTTTCAAGAGATATCGAGGATAAAAGCAATTGAAAGATTTCGTGATATACGTTACCTGCACCGACTTAGCCAGCAACACTAGTAAGCTTAACAATAAGCGACCAAACGCTGCAGGCAGCAGCAACAAAAAGAAGGTTGCCACAATTCTGCACTGTGCCGCCTCCTTCAAAACAACGACATATTTCTTCCAAAACTTCCACAACAAATAAAGCAAGGAAATCAGCTAAAATGCAACGTCAAGCTACTCATGGAACTTCCTTACCCAAACACACAAATCTCGATGAAATTTGGACTGATTTGGAACAGGGCATCAAACAAGTGTTTCAACAAGAACAATCACTGACGACGGAACGTTATATGCAACTTTATACGTATGTTTACAATTATTGCACCAGCGTAAACACCGTACAAAATAGTAGCAATCGTGTCAACAAAACTGGCGGAGCTCAGCTAGTTGGCAAAAAATTATATGAGCGTCTAAAGGATTTTCTTAAAGATTATTTGGCTAGTTTATTAAAAAATTTTGTGGCTATTAAGGGTGAAGAGGTTTTACTTGATCATTATACTAAACAATGGGTACTCTATCAATTCTCTAGTACTGTCCTGAACGGCATCTGTTCATATTTGAATAGACATTGGGTTAAGCGCGAATATGAAGAAGGGCAAAAGGGTATATACGAAATTTATCGTTTGGCTTTAGTCACTTGGAAAGAACATTTATTCAAAGTTTTAAATGAGCCGGTAACCAATGCCGTACTAAAGTCCATAGACGAAGAACGTCGGGGCAAAACCATAAAACGGTCTTTGGTACGTGATGTTATCAATTGCTATGTAGAATTGGGTTTCAATGAGGATGAAGTTGACACTAAAAATACAGCAGAAGATCAAAAATTGCGCGTTTACCGCCAGCATTTTGAAAATAAGTTCCTGGATGAAACAGCGGCATTCTATGAACACGAATCTGATGCCTATCTAAGCAATAATACGGTCACAGAATATATGAAACATGTGGAAAAGCGTTTAGATGAGGAACGTAAACGTGTCAATAGTGGAGATTTTGATTCTGTGCTCACTTCTTATTTGCACGCCAGTACTTTGGAAAAGTTAATAGAAACTTGCGAAGTGGTATGTAGGCATAGTTTCGTTTAAGATTTTAATTCAATTATTTTTTTTCCCATTTTGAAGGTTCTCATTGAAAAACATTTGGATATATTTCGTTCAGAGTTTCAGAATCTTTTGAATGCCGATAAAAATTCAGATTTAAAACGCATGTATTCATTAGTTGCCCGCACACCTAAAAATCTCACCGAATTAAAAATTATACTTGAAGAGCATATTCTACAGCATGGGCTTCAGGCCATAGAGAAATGTGGCAATACCGAAGCCGCCAACGATCCCAAGATTTACGTGCAAACTATATTGGAAGTGCATAAAAAATATAATGCTTTAGTGTTAACGGCCTTTAATAATGACAATGGCTTTGTGGCAGCTTTGGACAAAGCTTGCGGCAAATTTATAAATTCAAATGTGGTTACACAGGCCAACGGAGCCAGCAAGTCGCCTGAATTACTTGCAAAATACTGTGACATCCTTTTAAAAAAATCCTCCAAAAATCCGGAAGAGAAGGAATTAGAAGACAATCTTAACCAAGTAATGGTAGTATTCAAATATATTGAAGATAAGGACGTATTTCAGAAATTCTACTCGAAGATGTTAGCGAAACGTTTAGTTAATCATACCTCCGCCTCCGATGATGCGGAGGCTGTAATGATATCAAAACTTAAGCAAACTTGTGGTTATGAATATACCATTAAACTACAGCGCATGTTCCAAGATATTGGACTTTCAAAAGATCTTAACAATAATTTCAAACATCATTTACAAAGCGCCAATATACCAATGGAAATTGATTTTAGCATTGAGGTATTATCGTCGGGTTCTTGGCCTTTCAATCAAAGCAGTAGCTTTTTATTGCCATCAGAATTGGAAAGAAGTGTACAGCAGTTCAACACATTCTACGCTGCACGCCATTCTGGACGCAAACTAAATTGGTTATATCATATGTGTAAAGGTGAATTGGTGACGAATTGCTTTCGCAATAAGTACACGTTGCAAGCCAGTACATTCCAAATGGCGGTGCTGTTGCAATTCAATGATCAAACCAAATACACTGTTAAACAGTTGCTAGAAAATACTCAGATACAATTGGAAAATCTAGTGCAGGTAACAACTAAATAAATATATTATTGTACTCACGCGGGGAGGGGGGTATTCAACTAATAACTTTTGTCATTCTGATTGCCAGATGTCAAAAACTATAAGTATTTACTTTCTTGATTGATACAAAATCACGTTAATCTTGCGAATGTCGCAAACAGTCTCTCTTGTTAAGCGTTGCTTTCCGGATCGTGAAAAGGGTTGCAATTTCTAACAATTGAACAAGCGTAATTTCTAGAACTAAATTAAGAAAATAGATGAAGAACATTAACACCGTTTTGGGCGTTCTTCTATATAAAGACTGCCATGAGATCAAACAGGTTATAAATTTTTGCATTTTATCGTAAGCATAAATGATGAATTATATTAGACGCGGAGGTGTACAATAATTGGACGCGCTCATCTAAAGCGTTTGTGCTGGTATTAATTTTGGCCCATAAGGCAGCGATCTATCTATTTCATGTTATCATTCCTTCGCTCATCTCTCTTATGTCCAATTGTGAACAAAAAGAATACGAAATAATCATAGTTTGAAAATTGATGTCCGTTCTCGTTACAGTTTGAAAAATTCATTCTCAGAACTTCAAATATATCAAGAAGAAATGCGCTGAGGTTTGATAAATCTGGATTAATAATTGAAATCATTCGAGCATGCAAAAAAATTGAAAGAAAACGATGTGGACGGTTTTGGTGGCAGTCATGTTTTGCTATACATCTCCTAATGAGATGAAAGGTTTCCGTTTTTAATTTTGGGAAAATTGAGCGATGTACATGCCGCATACGCTTTAATGCTATTTATAAGGAGCCATCATACTCCAAGGAAAGTCTTAAGAGCATTGTTTGATTTTGTAACATTCTTAAACAGAATAATTCCACATTACGTCTAGGACGGCTTCGTAAGTTCGTTCTTTGAAAGGTGACAGAAGTTAATGCTAGACGAATAAACCTTCACTCTACCAACCACTCCATATAAGTAATTTTCTCAGTTTTTATAGACGACGCTATTTGTCCAAACAAAAATGCGCACGATAAGCAAAATATCAGATATATATAACAGAAGCAACGGGGACACAAGTAGCTATCAAGATAATCGGAAACTTGTTTCGAATAAAGATTCGTCTTTAATGTGAATATTGTTTCTTCTCACTCATTTTATTTCACTTCTCATTGGCAGGTGTTACAAATTTTATTGAAGGCCAAGCTGTTAACATGCACTGATGATGAAAACTCTCTGACGCCGAATTCAGTAATGGAACTGTATTTGGAGTATAAGAATAAAAAACTACGTATCAATATTAACCAACCATTGAAGACTGAGCTTAAGGTCGAACAAGAGGCTGTACATAAGCACATCGAAGAGGATCGTAAATTATTAATACAAGCAGCTATTGTTCGGATTATGAAAATGCGACGAAAACTTAATCACACTCAACTTATTACCGAGGTTTTGAATCAGTTGTCATCACGTTTCAAACCGAAAGTTCCCGTTATTAAGAAATGCATCGATATTCTTATTGAAAAAGAATATCTAGAACGTATGGAGGGACAAAAGGACACTTACAGTTATCTCGCGTAAAAGCGAAGAGCAAAAGAAAAATTTAACAAAAGAGAAGCAAGTTATTTTACCGTTGTGTTATACTCGTAAATTGTCACTTGTATCAGCCCGTCTTTGTAAGTGTTTGGGTGTTTTTATGTGTGCTCTATTATCGCTCAGCTCTTCCTTCATATTCTGTTGTTTCTATCCCAAAAAAAAAACATTTTATTTTTTCTCGAAACACAATTTATATTAACGTACATATGATAAATATATATAGATAATTAATAACAACAAAAAAAGAACAAAAAATCAAAAAAACACACACACATAGCAAACAAAAAACAATAATAACAACATAGCCACCATAACCAACAATTAAACAATAACACGAAAATCCCTACAAATACTGTATATAACCTCAATAGTGATAGCAGTGACTAACAACATCACCGGCAGCAGCTGCAGCAGCAACAGCAACAACTAACTAATGTCTGAAATTATCATTAACGTGGATGTATAACAACATTAAACAAATAGAATACAAGCAAAAATATTAACACAAAAAAAAAGTGTGGCTTTTTTCGCTTTTATTTTTGTGCAAAGAAGAAGGAAAAAAGCGAAGTATAGAGGAAAACGAAATAAAAATTGGAAAAAAATTTCGTTTATTATATACTTTGCGTGCCACAATTAACAGCAACACACAATCTTCTGTAACAATAACATCAAAAGTAGCAACAACATAATCTACAGCAGCAATAATAGTATCAACATCAACCTCAAGATCAGCATCATCATCGTCACATAGAGCTTGATTATCGAAAGGTTTCAGAATTCGGTCTATTTTTTGCTTGAACTTTTTCATGTCTGTCGCCTCCTAGTAGGTTACGAATTATTTCATTTGTTTCACGCACGGATTTTTCTTCAGGATATAGATCCTCTTCGTTTTCAAAGCCTAGAGCGTTCAAAACTGTCGTATTTTTCAAGTTTTGCTCTATAAATTTTCGGATTAAGCTCTAATAACGCTATCTTCATTTCATTGGACATCTCAGAAGGCTTCAGATGTTGGGCCAAGTCAGTTGTTTCAGCTCTAAGTAAAACTCCTCGGCTGTTTTGTCTTGTTTCCAAGAATTTATTAATCTTGCTGGTGTGTTTGGGATCTATACCAATATTTTTTACTTGGCGTTCTACCATTTCCTTATTTAATGGAACATTTAGCAACTGATTTTCCTCACATGCATTTGTCGTAAGCGTGCCTTCGAAATCTTTAAGCAGATCTTCAATTCGTTCGAATTCTTTTTGCATACATTGTTGCGTGTAGGAACCTGGATTGGTTTCCTTCGGTGTAGGATCAAGTTGAAAAAATTCCACAGCCTTATCTTCCTCACATTTTTTTGAATTGAAATATTTACGTAGATCTTGATTGACTTTCCCTTTGGCTTTTGGCGTTGTCTTTGTTTTCTTTACCTTAACCTCCTTTAATTCTTTCTCTATGGGTTTTATAAAACTGCGTATGCACGTTGGCGCTAATTGGCGAGGCAACAGACGTTGGCTATGTTGATAGAGCGATTGTTTCACTATTTGAGAACGCAGTAACTTTTTATTAAGCTGATCTTTAGTCGCCGTTACATCCTAAAGTAACTTTTATTCCCTGCCTTCGGTAACTAACGTCACAATTTTACCATTACTTTGTCTTCCTATGCGACCAATACGTTGTATAAAGCGCGTTGGATTAGCTGAACTGATGTCAAAACATGTTATTAAGTCAACTTCTCCAACGTCGATGCCTCCCTCCCCAATGGAAGTAGCAATTAATATGTTACTCTTTCCCGAACGGAAATCGTTCATTATTTGTATTTGCTGTTGTTGGGTAAAAGCACGTAAGCCACCGGAAGAACCACCTTGACCTAAGATAGAGAAGGAATTAACTTCAAAATTTAATGAAGCAAAACTAAGACTAACCAACAAAACATCGCGGCCTAAGTAAAGGCTTGCCTTGCAATAACATTCGATATATCAGCAGGACGGACTCGCTGTACTCACAGAAGACCAGTGCCCAAGAGTTTTCCTGCTCCTAAATAATTAAGTTAAAAGGAATTTAAATATTAACAAATAAAAAAATTATATTCGCTCCTGACCGAATCTTTTATACCCATCACAGTTATCCTAAAAGAGGCAATAAAAGTAAAATGATAAAATTTTCATCTTCTATAATATGGAGTGGTTTTTTCTATTTTCAAAATAAAAGCTTTTGACATATAAGTGCGTCGTCGGGAAAGTTCAAGTTACTTCAAAACTTTTTTGAAAATTTGTAGGCATTGCCTTCATTATCGTTAACGGGAGAATGTTTACCACAAATACTACACAGTCACGTAGACAGCCAGACGGATATGTTTAGGTGCATTTCAAATTTGAAACTGGCCAAGAATTTATATACTTTATGGGGTTTTCGAAGCTTTCTTCTGCGCCTTATAAAGGTATTGAAAAAAGTTACATATTGATACACTACAATATGGGGTAGGCGTGGTCAAATTTTTTCATTTTTGTACAGATGCTTTAGCATCGCCAATAAAATATACGTTCAAATTGTTGTACATTTATCTGCTATATACTTTATAGATATATGTCGTTTCAAGATTGCTGCGTCGGTTTAATCGTTTTCGTCCGTCTGAATTTATAGGTTATGTGTTATGTAAGCAACTGGACAACTGATAAAATGATATAATAATCAATACCCATTTCCCAATTACAAATGCAATAATTAATCTAATAACTTTCTAGCTTCAGATTTTATCTTATTGAAAACAAACATCCTTTCTCGGTGATTGGAAACTCTAACCGAACGGAGGATTTTTAGAAGATGCGTTCTAAGCCAGAGGGATTCTTAAAAATAGTACTTTCTAGAAACGTCACTCATCGCAGGCTTTCTGAATTGAAGAATGCATCCGCATGTGTAAAAAGCAAATAATTTCGATGTACATTGCATTAGCTGACCTTGATGGATTCATGCACACTTTCGTCAGCCTTACCTATTATATGTTTCAATTGCCATAACATAATTTTAATATTTCACGATTCATCACTTAACTTTTCATTAACTAAGACGTTTCGATAAACCTTTAACGCAATCCAGTGTTTTTTCGGATGTCTATGCAATGAACACATTATCGTCACTTGCAAAGCAATAGGTCACTGGTACGTATAAAATTTCCCCTAAGTCTAATATGGTTACACCTAAACCTGAAAAAGTTGTTCTTATATCTAATAAATTTCATGTTAGGTCTAATAAAATGCCCCTAAGTGGAATAAAAGTGAACACATTGCGTGCATGCCACTAAAATGCGGTATTTTCAACAGCTCTTGCTTTCTTAAGAATGCGCTTTGTATTCGAATTTCTACCCAGAATAATTATCGGTAGCAAAGCGTGCTTTTACGTTTGAAGATATATCAGAAATTTCAAATGCCGTACACTAATGGGATTTCATAATTCAGAGAATGAATTTTTATTATAAACACGCCAAAGTGCGCGTTACAATCATTTGAAATGCCTAATATATGGCAGTCGTTGATTTCAAACATATTACTATCATGTGCCCGCGAGTACACTGCCGCGTGGTTGGTGCACACCTCGTCAAAATGGACCTGTACAAGTCTGTCTTGTTCGGTCAGTCGAGCGAATTTTGAACGAGGATTTGACTGCTGTCGCCTTGCAGCCTGGGCCGACGTAGACGGTCCGGCGTAGTTCTCATTAGCTATCCACTCGCAGTCCTTATTAGTTATCCTCTCGCAGTCCTTTAGAAATTTGTCCAAAAGGCTCCTCGGCATCGAGGTAGGTGTTTCATTGCTTGATGTTGGCGTGATTACCATTTCGTTTGGAGTAGATCGCCCCGTCGTCGATCCTGGCGATATTGCAGTTGGAACGGGTTCCCTTCTCACTAGTGATATGGCAATTCAATATACTTTCGAAATAGTTTCAGGTTCCAGTTCCCGTATCATATACCTCAGTCCCAATAAAATATCATCTATGATAGATGTATTCTTAACCTTCTCACCCTCTTCGAATTCACAAAATTTTTCTTTCGCCAGACGGATACCTTCTTTAGCAGCCTTTTCAAGTGTTATAAGTCTCCTCATGGTTTTAGCTGCCTGCTTATATCCCAGCTCTTAAGCATACCATACATATGAGGTAAGAGCTGTATGGATCGACCCTGCCTCAAGTTTTTTGAAAGCATCTCTGACTGTTATTAAAGCTCTTATAACCCACGGAACAGTCACTGTCCAGTTTAATTTCACGCTACGCTTGCGCGTCAGTTCTTTGTAAAGTCGTTTGGGTGACGCCCGTCGAGGACGCCACAGGTCCGGATACTCGCGGGAAGTTTGCTAAGCATATCGAGCAGCTCACAGTTGCACTTGGTGAACATAATCCCTGAAAAAATCTTTAAGATATATATATATATATATATATATATATATATATAGCGGAAGCATACACTGCGAACTATATTTAAAAAACCGACATATATTGACAGTTTAATTAATAGTATTATCCTACATATAAAAATAGATATTTATTAAGCTAAATTTAAAAAAAAGACTTTTTTTTGGAATTTGATTTATTGACCAAAAAAATTTACAATATTTACAAAATAACACAATACTACAAAGTAATAAAAATTCAAAATCTTAAAAAAGCTTAAATGTAAGTTTCAAATGAATAATAATAAAACTCTATAAATTAAGAATGTAAGTTCGGCCTTTGTTTATTTTTGTGTTCTTTCTATTTATTTGCTTTTTCTTAATTTTTTAAATTATTTTTTTAAATTGTTAATTTTTTTTTCTCACTGCGAACTATTTTGTGAAGCTTTCATCAACCTCTACAAAACAGTTCTGCTTTAAATGGAACACTTCAGAGCTATCATCAACCTCTGAAGATTCCCTTTGAAGCCAACGAGGCGTAATAGCGTTTTCAGATAACTTAGGTGAAATTCGCAATTTGGCAAATTCTCTGTCGTTTTCATCATGATTCCTATTACCGCTTTCATCAAGCGGGAGAATGAAACTATTAACTAATGCTCTTAGATGCTATTTTTAATGTCTTCCTTTGGATTTTACATTGGGTATATTCGGCTTAAATTAGTACGCAAAATACATGTTTGTAAGGGCCTAAAGGCAATTAGGTTTGATTGCAGTTTCGTTTGAATGAAGCCTCGTTGTGTTTTAGATCTTTAAGTAAATTCGATGAGGATAACCATATTTTCTATGTTTCGTAATATCTTTGCATTTCTACATCTGGTTAAGTTTCTCATCGCCGCATCGTCTAAACTCAACATGCGAACTTTTTTAGGAAGGCTGGGAGGTTGACTCAAATAAATGCAATCAGATTATATTGTTATGTATGCGGGACATGTCCAAAGTGCAATCATTTTCGATTCCCAAAGAGGGGAAGAGAAAGGGAGACGCAGACCAGGACACAGTAAACGATAGCAAACAAAAAAGTGTACTATTTTGTGCTTCTCAATTCAACCGACTACAAAGCAGACATCACCTTTTACTGCGGTAAGGTGCATTCAGTATATTATTATAAGAACATTAAATTATGGTCCGAACTTCATTTTTGAGCATTTCTTCGTGTATACCAAAATGTGCATACGAATCAAAATAATAACCACGAGAAGTCATTGCTCCGCCAGAGTAGTACCTTGTACCTAGTGTGCAAAGATTCCTAGACTTAGTACCAGCACATGTTTGCTAATGGCAAGAATGTGCTAATATTTGAGAAAGGGAAAAAACGTATGGAAGTCTTGCTAAATGAATTTCATCAAAGCGATGGCGATATTGAGGATAGTTTATTATCTGTGAAAAATAAAGTTATTTCCAAAAAGCAAAAGATGACGTCTGAAAAAAAAACCTTTAAAACATCTTTAACAAGCAGGAAAGACCATTGCAGCAGCAAGTTCATGTTCAAATATGCTTTTGAAACAAGTACACCAGGCGTCAATAGGAAATTGCCAGTTCAGGAAATGGAAAAAGGTAACGCCGCAGTATTACTGGCAAACCGACCAAACCGAGGTGGCGGCTATCGGTTTTAAGACGTACTCGTATTATTTCAAAGGAATAACAAATGAAGAGAATTGATGGAACACGCAAACTGTCTTATAAGATTCATTTATTTTTTTTAACATCTGAGAGTAAGCGTTTCTTATTCTCAATAATTTGTCTAAAAATTGCTAATATCTGAGAGTAAGCGCCCCAATTTGCCAACAAATGAGAGTAAGCGTATATGTTTGTTTACACTTCTCAATAATTGAACATGTATTTGTATAAAAATTGCCTCTTTTGGCCTCTGGAAATGTAGCCCGGCTTTTCATATATAGATCTTAATATATTTGGGATTTATGATTGAAACAAAGCGTAAAGAAGTACATGCCCATCCGCCTGTAACAGTATAAGGCACCCATGCACAACCATTTCTTGTACTAAAATACTGCCATCATCTTCCGGCAGTTGAAATCATATATTTGTACCCCTTTGGTCTTCATTTGAAGACGTAATCAACGGCGATTACGCTATCTTCTTCTTTTCGCCTCTGTACATGTGATAGAAGACTTGTGAACAAAGTCGACCAACAATAATCTAAGAAATTGTCCTTTATTTCTAGAATGTTTAAATATCATCTAGGTCGTGTAAGTCGTCTTTGTTGTATGTATCAAAAAGAAATCGAATATTTTCGAATATATAAGATTCCACAGACTGTATTTGTTTAACAAGTTATTTTTATTATAAATATCAAATAATATCAAAATATAAGAAACAATGTATTACAATTCGTTTTTTTAATAATAACATTGCGGCGGTGAAAGGCACGCTCCACATTGAATCCTTCAATGTCGCTGCCTTTCAGATATTTGTTCCATATAGGGAGAAACTGCGATTTCAATATTAAAAAAAGCGTCTAATACGTCTACCATACGTTTAAGTTTCTGCATAATTTTAGTAAAAATTAGGTATAAATAATTCAGTAAGTATGGAATATTAAGTAGCTGTTGAAAGACTTAGACTTACAATCCACTTGACATCTTGCATCAACACGTTGCAGCTGTGTCTGAAACACCAAAGTATGCTTTTAATACCCGATGATTGCTTAGTGCTCGTCGCTTTCTGCAAAATTTTCCGCATTCCGGGCATTGATATGGTCCACAAATAGGTATTAAAGTTGCATGGCGTATATTACCGATTTGCTATTAATTTTTACATATATTCGTACAGGTGGTTTGAATAAATTTGAAATCTTTTATTTAACTGTATGAAAAAACAGTATATATTTTCCCTTAAACGCTTTGTAATGAGCAATAAAATCAAATTTTTTTCCTGTTGAAAAAACAAAGGTGTTCCCAGTTTATGAGGTACTGTTGGCGTGCCGTTCCACCGATTTGGTCCATTTTCAGTACCAATCTGCGTGCGAGCACTTCCGATGTTTCTGCCAAACTTGAAGAGGATAGTTTTATTTTGGCGGCCAGGACAACAGGCAGCCACATGGACATGGCTTGATGCTGATCAATCATTCTTTGTGTGAGATCTCTAAAGATACCTTCTGGACGTTGCGACGTTCTGACAAAAAGAATATACTCGCCAAGCTTTGGTGATGGATATAAAAATGTACAAAATTATTGAATACTTTTTTATAATAACCTGAAAATGCTTCAATAAACATTCGCGAGCCTTTTCGAACTTAGGATGACGGAAATCTAAATCTTTAGGCATTTAGGCGATTTGTCCATTAGTCATTACTCCCGCAGATACCTCAAACGGATTTGGTCCAACTTAATGTTTAATTTTTTGCATTAAAGATTTTAGATGAAAATGTCTAAAGTTGCTATTTACTGTTGCGTGCAGGGGATGATTGCCATGCCGTAAAGAACGTTCACGAAATTTTTTTTGCTCGTAGAGTAAGAAATTACGATTAATGTTTTCTTTATGTCCTGACAAAACTTCAGCTTCAATCAGCTGCCTTAAGTAAGGATCAATGATCTGTAGTAAATTCTGACGTATTTCTTGTATTTGTTCGCCTAAACTCACTACCACAGTTTGCATATGTCGCTTGTGTATATAAGGTGACACATCAATCGAATTGTCCCAACGTATTTCCAAATGACTTATCAGAAGATTCCGGCACACTTCTGCCACATCGTGTTGCGTTCTGCCGGGGGTCTCTGATAAGGCTAATACACGGAAGCATTTCGTTTGCCGGGCAATGGCCTGGACGCTCTCAGTAAATGCATAGCGGCCGTAAGTTACATGCCAATAATCAATTTAATTTTACTTTTATAAAGACCTACATTTTGCGATTCAAAATCAAAAACAAGAAGAAAGAAAGTTTTTTGAATAACATCGAAAATGATTTCCTAAAAAAAAAAATGCCTGCTCTGGCGAGTGAGAAAAAATCTTTTAGAAATTGTTCGCGTTAACCTCGACTTTGGCTCACCACATCCTCCCACATATTTCTAATTTTTTGTTTAGATATCTTATTAAAGTTTTTTCTTTTTCTTCAAATAAATATGCTTATGAGGACTTATAATTATTAATTTAAAAAACAATATACATTTTAATTACTTAAAATTCCAAGTTAATAAAAGCTGAAATTCTTCTTCCGTGTAACTTCTCAATGTGTTTCTTTTTATTTTTATTTATTTTATTGTGAAGGGATTTTCAAAAATTTTAAAATATTTGCAAGAAGGAGACAGCAACTTATTCTGTCTACAATAGTTAAAATACGCCTTGAAACAATCGACCAATTTTAATTCAGACTCCGGCCAAAAGAGAACCGTTCCACCGGCTTCACATAATTGCTTCCTAATCCTTTTTCTAAAATTCATTCATTCATTGCTTTTTTCTTACAATTTATACGAATACGAAAACAATAGGAAAACGGGACAGAACTCTGCCCACGATTACTTAGAATTAAGATATTAAAAGTAATCAAGGCAAGCTCTTTATTATTATTTCGCATTATAATACACACTACACATTACTTTTGGTTGTTTGATTTGAAGAAATCTGCTGCCCATCAAAAACTTTTAGGAGCTTATAGCGATGTTGCTTCATCATATCCCAATTGTCGATCTTCATTTCAATGGTTGTGATTTCAATGTCAATGGCAAAGATTGGCTTGTAGGACCAAAAAAATTTCGAAGAGAATGAATTGCAGGACTTATTGGACGAATACCCAGCTTAAACTCACAAACAACTTTCGAACGGCTTAGTAGTAGATGAGTCAATATTTATTCGCGATGGGAAAGATCCAAAAGAAGGGAGTATTGCCAGCATACAAATTGACAGAAAATTATATTTCGTACCGTTTAAACATTGCTGTTTCACTGCTTGTTAGACAAACAAAGAAGAGTTTTCTGTGGCCTATTGCCTAGCCACTAGTGGTGAAAAGTGGATCTACTTCAAAAATCCCAAGCGCTAAAAGTCATGGACTAATCCAGGGGACCCATCCAAATCGACGCCAAAGCAGAACATTCATAGCTATAAAGTTTTGCTGGGTGTACGGTGGGATCTGTAGTGTATTACGAGTTAATAAAGCCGAATGAAACTTTTACTAAATATGTCTACCAACGTCAATTCAACAAATTGAACGATGTGTTTTTCGAAAAAAGACGAGTAATGCGGGTAATAGACGCATAGTCATGCTCGGGCTGACAACGTCCGGTCAAACGTTGCAAGAGTTGTCGAGGATACACTCTTCAATCTCGAATGGGACAAATTGCCTTCTGAATACCATTTCAGATCGAAGCAGCAGAAATGCTGAAGAAGTGCGAAAATGGGTCGACGATCGGCTCTCTACCAAACCAATAACGTTCTTTCGACAAGGCATTCCCGTGTTGCCAAAAAGATGAAAGAGTTGTCGATAACAATGGAAAATATTTTAATTAACATTAGCAGAATCCATTCAAGCACCTGTTATGCTATTTATTGAAGTTACGTTAATCGTATAGATCCGTTAGTTTAATGGTTACATTTCCTAGAATAGTTTGAAAAAATGTATTTACAAAGTTTACTCCCAGTTCTAGAGTAAAAACTTATTATTCCTGGCGCAACGTCATCGCGTTGTTTCGTACATCGGAGAAGCCATTAAAAATAAAAAGCTATCGGTAAAGTTTGTCATGATGGGCTACCTATCAAACTTAAGAAGTTTTTTCGAACTCCGATCTATGCACTACTATGTTAAAGTCGAAAATGACAGAGGGAATTCCCCAGGAAAACTCTAAGTTCAATACTATTCAATACATTTTAACTGCGACGTACACTGATGACACAGCAATTTTCATAAACGTTTCCTACGAACTACAAATTCATCTCCACAAAATCTCGTTCTGACGGAACAAGTGGAATATCAAAAAATATGTTAAAAAATCTGCGCATATTACGTTTACGTTAGATAAAATTTCTGTCCTTCATTATTTTTGAACGGCAATAATATCCCTATGTATAACTGCGTAAAATCCTTGACGTACATATGATTGAAATTTTACATGGAAAAATCATATTAAGCCACCAACTTGAATTAAAAGTTAAAAGACTCTATGGACGAATTCGTCCCAAATCTCGACCAAATCTACGAAATAAATGCGTTTTGCGAAGGAGTATCCTCCAACCTATTTGGATTTCCACCATACAACATCGGCCGAAAGCCAGTAACTTGACTAATATTGAAATACTTCAAAAATATTAATCTCAAAACGAAAGGAAAGCGAAATTTAAATATTGACCAAAATTAGTTTGCTTACGGCTATATAAAGAGATGCTTAATAATTACCCACTCGCGATGAAGTCGAACCATTTTTGGTGAAAAGTGATGAAAAGTGGATCATATACGACAGTAATACGCGAAAAAGATCATAGTCGAGGGTGCATAAAATTGTGCAAAGGATATAAAGTTTTTTTATGCCAACCACCGCAGGTGAGCGATACATTCATAGTGTTCGGTCATTTGTAACACCAAAAAGTAAATAAGTGCGTTCGTGTAGTATTTGCGGCAACATCTTGTTGATCGCAAACTTGGTCTTCAAATTTGACTGAAACATTGGACCACTCGAAGATTGGTTCCCTCACGCACGCTAGTGTTAAAAATGTACCATTTGGAAAAACCTTCGTTGGACTTTGGACTTTGGACGAACTTTATAAGTTTATAAGTTCGTACTGCATTGATTTTATTGAAATGACTTTGTACACAGTCTAGCGACGAATACAAAAAGTGTTGCTCATCTTTTTCCTCATAGGGTCGTAATATATACCAGAAACGTAGAATAAGAAGTTTTCAGATTAAATTTGTGCTTGGAATTGAGATGCTACTCGTTGTATTTATTTTAACGAACCACGCACAAAAGTGAGAATCTACGTAGGAAACTGACAAACGTCTACAAAAATTATTCATTTTTGTGAATTCGTCTCCTAACATTTAAGTCGAGTTTCATGCCAATGTATGCAATTGCTTCAATGATGGAATTTGATTTGGATATGGAGAAAATGCCTCTGGGGAAACTCAGTCGGAAGCAAATTCAGTCTGCTTAAATCACTCACTGAGGTTTATGGATTGATTCAAGAAAGCGGCAAATTTATGTACGCTACTAATCCTTTTTATACTTTAAGATCTCATAATTTTCGCAGTCAGAGTCCCCCTCTATTCGATACCATCGAGCAAATAGAAAAATTATGTGAAATACGACGTTCTTTGCACCTTGGTACCAAATTTCTAAAAATGTGAGAAAGTCGATCGCGGAAAATGTCGTTGGCTTCCACTTCACGTTTGTAAAATTTTCGGTTTAAGGGCATTTCAAACAAAATTTGTAAAAGAAACCGATTAAATTGGTTCTCTTTAGTAGAAATCGTTAAAAAGCCACCAGCGTGTTTACGGAGCTTAAATATGAACTAATTTTTTGAGGATAATAGGGATTTCCATTTAAATTTTGTTCGAAAGCTTAAACGTTTTAGAAATGAAACGAATTTTATGAACGTTTCAATGAACAATTGATTGAATTGAACTTTTTGAAAGCGTGCAATTGCTGCTGGGAGAAGAACAGAATCAACACCTACAAAACAACATTACTACAACAACATTCTTCACGATCCAATGTCATCATAACTGCCAACTCTAGATGTTCATAAAGTACGCGTAACCATATTTGTAGTAATGTATAGTTGTACATTAGTTAGAAAGTTTTGAAGTACCTGTGCACATATATAACTCTTTTGTTTTATACATAACAGGTGCGTGCATGTAGCCAACTGAAGTATAAAAATCAATAAAGATGTCTTCAACCGGCTTGATATTCTTTATGGTTTCGTTTAATAGCAAAGCGTATTTAGGGATTGCTAACTAAAGAGTATTTAATATTTAATAGTTTCAGCTAATGATACCTTTACTTTTGTGGATGAGATACGCCAAGCAGCCCAAAACGCTCAAAATATGTATAACTTTGTTTACAAGCCCACATCAGGATTATATATAGATCAAAACTCTGGGTATTTTTACAATGCGGTAATTCATACGATAGCAATTTGATTGAGTGTCGCAGTTGATTTAAATAACTGATATTCCAAAGGAGTACGGATTGTATTATGATGGTAACGCAGTTAAACCAAGAAGCGTCGATCGGCTCGAAAAACTCTGTCTCCTCACCTTGATTAGTTTTGTTAATGATGCGTGTATCAGAAACGGAAAATGCGCTTGAAATTTGAATTGAACTGCAGTCTATTTTGACCACTTAACAATATATATGGTTCGCGTAGCTTTTCGCTGCAGATTTCATTATTAATCTGCAATCGTCAAAAATATTATTTGAACGGCGGTAATGGTGGTAACCAGTACGAAACAAAGACGAAGCTTGGCAAGTAATTGCCATGAAATTGCGTAGTGATGGTAAATATTAAAAAAAACTAATTACTTTATAATTAAATATATTTATACGTTTGTCTTACTTTTAATGGAGACCTGCAAGAAGCGATGGAAGTGTTTAAGAGAGCGACATGTGCCACAACGTAAGCAAGGCGATCCTCCCGTATATGAGCATCTATTGCGACCGTATTTAAAAAAAATGAAATCCCCAGAACTTTCTGACCTCTCCGCATTCAGCCAACAGATCAAATTTTAATGAATACGGATTCATGGATTTATGGATTCAAAATCGAACAGCTCGATGAAAAATTTAATAGTCAGCAAAATCGTGAAATGTTTCTTGCTTTAGTAATGGATACGTCACCTCTTCGAATTATTGCACTGTCTTTTATTATTTATATTATTTTGTCAA